ACTAAACGTGCGCTCGGCGTGAGCTGATACAAGTGGCGCCCGATTTAAATATGGAACGTTTGAAACATTTGTATTATCAGGAATAAGGGCTTTTTCCTCGCTATTATTACTTTTTTAAAGGTACAATAGGCAAAAAGGCAAATATCTTAAAACAGGCAAAAAAGCAACATCACATGTGTTATGTCAGAGCTGGGCGATAAGAATTACGATTACTAAACGATTAGGATTGCAGTAATCCAAACAAGCTTAAAAAACAAGCTTACGGTTACAGTAATTCTTCATCGAACGAATTTAGATTACGATTACAGTAATCGTAATTTTAAAAAGTAAAAATTACGATTACTGTTATCGTAATCCAAGTTCGTTCGATGAATGTTTACTTTAATTGTAATCCTGTATTGTTTTATTTGTCGTTTATACAAAGTTTATTTATTGTATACAAAGGTACATACTCGTATGTACGTAAGGTATATTCAAATGTAATTTTGACAGAGCACATTTAAAATTCATTGTAAACTGGTTTGAGATCGTTAATATAAAAATAATTTTATACATACACTTCTGACCAGCTGATTAAGTCATCACCATTTTGATCGATTTTGGCTGTTTCTCTTTTGTTTACTTAATGTTTATTATTTTTCCATTAAGGACAAGCTCATTATATAATAAACAATTGATTTTGAATAATTTTTTTCTTGTAGACATTTGGTAAGGGGGTTGGTTGTCGAAATTACGTTCTGCTAAGAAAGAGCATAGCAATATTTCAGCCTTTTTTGGGTTCATTACATTTTCAATGAAGTATTAAAAAAGTTGCCTGCTTTTTTCTGACTTTTTATGCTGCTACAGTTTTTTTGATGGTTTTGCGAGCGTGTTGCAAAAGATCAGCTCTTCCTGATTTGGCTTTTAATGTGCAATTGCAAACATTAGATGCGATCAGGTACGAGTCCGGACTACTCAGAAATAGTCAGAATCAGTCAGATTTTAATGGAAATCGATCCCGTACTCGGTTCTCTGACTATTGAGAGGACAAAAAAGGGAGTAAATACGGTTCTCTCTCTGTCAGAAGTTACCAGTTTTAGTCCGAGAATTTTTTGCTGGTAAATTCTAGTAAATATGTCAAACGATCAGCTGTAGTGTGTTTGGCAACCAAATTGTAAACAAAAGAAAAGTGCACTTTGCTAATTAATGTTGAAAAGTATTTAATTACTTGTTTAACTGGATTCTAATGAATTTGAAAGTATTTTTGGTTATTTGCATGTGTGAGCTGAGTGTGTTTACATACAAAATAAGCAAAAATTTACAACCAAAATTTGGAGGTTATGTTGAAGTTGACAGAAGTTACCATTTTTTACTCGAAAGCGATCCCGTACTTTTCAATGTTACTCTCTCGCTCTGAGCGAATTTTTATTTTTTGACAGTTTTACTAGTCCGAGTCCGAGGAATACGGGATTTCACCTACTACAATAAGCCCTGTAACCTTAAGTGTTTACACAACCAGCCTCATCATCATATTTAAGTCATCTGTGTCCAAAGAATAAATATCTTTTGAAGCAGCTTGGAAAGATTTATTAAGAAAATAATTTAAAATCAGTTCTATTTACAAGATCTAGTAACAGAGACTGCTTACCTATACACCAAACGCGGACTGACATTCGATTAATTATTGACTTGTGTATGCAAAAATAAAATAAAGAAAGCACCCTGCAGAAAATCTGTCTAGCTCAGAACTAGCGTAAAACTAGACAGTAATAGTTCTAGCTCAATACCCAAGCAATGCTTTCAACTGTCCAGTTTGACGCGGCTCAATATGTAACGAAGCTGTCCTGTGTGGTGAGCATCAAATTAAAATATGTCAGGAATGTATGGAGAATTTCCCATAAATTTTTCTATAACTTAGTTTAAGAAACAAACAACTTTATATTTTCATTCAATAAAATCAACACAGAAGACAAATAAGTTTTTATTAAACATTTATTTAAAATAACACAGACAAATGGTAAGTAAAATTTACGTATATTACCTATAAGGTAGGTTAAAACTGTCTTATGATTCTAGAGTTAAGCTTATATTCGAGGATGTGGTCGAGTGTATATTAATTCTTAGCATAACATTTTTCAAAAAATAATTTTTCAAAATTTCAAGGTTATTCAAGAAAAAAATTTTAAAAAAGCATTTCCAGTACTTGCCTGTCCTTATGCACCAAAAAATTTAATCAGAGTTAATTCTACATAAATTTCTCATTAACCCATACGGTTTTTCTACATTGCCCTTAATTTTTTAAATAATTTTTTTGAGGTAATCATATATTTCTAATTATAAAGTCCTTTCAAAAAAATCGTGACGTCAGAGAGAAAAACTATGATGGACCTTAGTTTCGCGAATATTATACATATTTGAATTTGATCTCAATAACAAAGTTTTTTATTTTTTATATATGTATGTACATTAGGGTGTTCCTTAAAAATAAAATGAAGGATTTTTTCCGTCTCACCCCCTTAATTGGTAATACCACGGTCACAGATATCACGTATAAATTTTGGTCCCGATTGTGGACCCTTAAGGCGTGCCGCACAGATGACAAAGTTCAGATTCCTCTATAGAGACTCAAAAAATATAAATTATTGTTTTTTTTCATCTATATAAAAGTTGGTCCCGACTGGAGTCGATTAAGGCGTTTTCATAGAGTAATCTTAAATTTGACCCCTGTGCGATACGCCTTAACCGACTCCAATCGGGGCAAAAATTTACATGTGATATCTTCGACTAAAGTAGTACCGATTTTGGGTATTAGATGAAGAAAAAAATTTGATTTTAATACTTGTATAACTTATGCTTGGTTTTGACCAACCAATTTTAAAATTTATCAGACCGTAAAAACGTAATGTAACAAATTTTCGGAACAAACAGGGTGATAAATTTTAAATTAATTGATGGAAGCGGGCGAAAAATAGAACAAAATTTGTGTTTAAAGGGCAGATAAATATCTAGTAAAACATACTTGAGAAACCGGCCCTTAGTATAAACAAGTTTTCCCATTTAAACCGAATCGAACCGCGGTTCTGAGATGCTCATCAACCGGCTCTTTTACCGGTATACATTTTTTCTAAGGGCCGTTTTCTCATCTAACCTTTAGTTTACCGGTCACTTTATCGTCTCGATAGATATACGAGTTTTCGTTTTCTCAGCAGCGCATTAATTTCTCGAATCGATAAACTGTTGCTCACCCGATGCAACCTTTAAAATTTGTACCCAACTTTAAATTTTGGTTTGGTTTTGGTTCATGAGTCAGATAACGGGTGATTTTTTTGAGGTTAGGATTTTCATGCATTAGTATTTGACAGATCACGTGGGATTTCAGACATGGTGTCAAAGAGAAAGATGCTCAGTATGCTTTGAAATTTCATCATGAATAGACTTACTAACGAGCAACGCTTGCAAATCATTGAATTTTATTACCAAAATCAGTGTTCGGTTCGAAATGTGTTTCGCGCTTTTTTATCGACAAATTTTGTTCAGCGATGAGGCTCATTTCTGGTTGAATGGCTTCGTAAATAAGCAAAATTGCCGCATTTGGAGTGAAGAGCAACCAGAAGCCGTTCAAGAACTGCCCATGCATCCCGAAAAATGCACTGTTGGTGTGGTTTGTACGCTGGTGGAATCATTGGACCGTATTTTTTCAAAGATGCTGTTGGACGCAACGTTACGGTGAATGGCGATCGCTATCGTTCGATGCTAACAAACTTTTTGTTGCCAAAAATGGAAGAACTGAACTTGGTTGACATGTGGTTTCAACAAGATGGCGCTACATGCCACACAGCTCGCGATTCTATGGCCATTTTGAGGGAAAACTTCGGAGAACAATTCATCTCAAGAAATGGACCGGTAAGTTGGCCACCAAGATCATGCGATTTGACGCCTTTAGACTATTTTTTGTGGGGCTACGTCAAGTCTAAAGTCTACAGAAATAAGCCAGCAACTATTCCAGCTTTGGAAGACAACATTTCCGAAGAAATTCGGGCTATTCCGGCCGAAATGCTCGAAAAAGTTGCCCAAAATTGGACTTTCCGAATGGACCACCTAAGACGCAGCCGCGGTCAACATTTAAATGAAAATATCTTCAAAAAGTAAATGTCATGGACCAATCTAACGTTTCAAATAAAGAACCGATGAGATTTTGCAAATTTTTGCAAAAAAAGTTATCAAGCTCTTAAAAAATCACCCGTTATATTAGATATTTCAACCAAGGTTTTGGTTTTTGCTAGCAGTTGCTCTTGCTCTATATTTGCTTATGTTGCATTGCCAACCTTTGAAATTTTATGACGAATGTAGTGAAGTTTCACTCTCGGAAATGTAGTGAAGTTTCACTCTACGGAATAACAAATTTATTTTTACAGGTAAGATAAGACAACGAAAACACTTTAAAGTGAGGAACAATTTATCTGCCCTGTTAGTAAAGGCAACTTTACTGCTTACATTAGAAAACGGCCCTAAGTGGTTCAACCACTGAACTGAGCCGCCTCGATTTTTGGATTGGTTTGCAGCCCCTATAAATACACCAGCGCCAGCAGTAAAATGGTAAAGGTGCAAGTGCTGTGTAATGTAAGTGAAGACGAGAAATTAGTAATTTTCTACATCAGCAGTCATACATGTTATTCTGTGAAAATCATTTGAGCGAAATTTTGGCTTTGTGTGCTTGGGAAGTTAAGCTTTTAATTTCCGCGGTCATAACTCAAAATCAATAACGAACATACTTGCACATTTGAGTATGTGGGTGCATCGGCTGTCGAAGTTTTAATAAGTTAAACTTCGACTACTGAGGTAAACCGGCTAAGCTGAATTCAATTAACAAAAAATCAAAATACTTTTTATCCTTGTGCTTAATATTAGGGGTAATTATAATCAGGCACGCTTTTTTTACTGTACATTTTGCTTCTCATATTCAGGCGACGAATGCCGCCACCTTTGTATTTACTGGTTGGCATTACTTTATAGGTACTTACCTGTGTTTCTTCATTTCCATGTGCTTTTTCATTTCTCTCTGTTTATTGTCGTATTTTCGCTGATGGATCTCATGGGTTTCATAAACTTCGTGCATGTTGGCTAAGGAACTGAAGGGATTGTTGTAAATGTTCGCAGGATGATGGTGGCCATCGTGGTGGTATGCGCTATGCGACGTGAAATCATCTACAGTTAAGCAAACAAGAAAATAATAAAGAAAATAATTAAAAAAAGGCAAAAGCTTTGTGTAATTAAATACGAGCCCATGCTCGCTAATCCAATGAATAAAGTTTCCTGTCCATTTTTATAGATAACCTTGTAGGAAAATATAAGTCTAGTGTGTTACCCATTAAATACAACTCTTACTCTTTACTCCTTACTGCTCATAGATAAGATATATGTACATATGTATTTAAATATGTATTATTGGAAAGGCTTGTAAGCGAGTATTTCGTCAAATGAAGCGCCCCTCTCCAAAATTGGTTAATTTTTACCGAATTTTCAAGAACATAGCCGATTTTTTTTTACCTGAACCAATTTTGGAAGAGGATGAATGATCAAAAATTTATCCGCCATATTGCATCCGCCAATTTAAATTAAAAAATACGAGCGTAGTCGGTGACCACAAAAACCGCCGAGTAACAAATTTCAAGTGTAAATTTTATTCTATTACAAAATGTCGCAGTTGACAAGATCCATTACATTGTAATGGTAATGGTAGTCACAACTCTGACCAACACAATTCACACCAAAGGCATGTGGGTGTTAAGCTAATCCTTTTTGTTGACAGTTTTCGTTTTTGTTAATACTTCCAAAACTCTTATGTCCTTTTTCACAAAAAATAAAATAGATTTAAAAAGCTCTGAAAGTGACGTTGAACCCTGTAAAAATTCATGTTTTTGCCTTCTTGTGCTTGTCTTGCTCACGCATTTCATAATATTGTCGTTATAAACAACCATTAGATTTTCAGGGCAACCATCTCCCCTGACAAAGCTTCACAGCGCAGAGAATATGCCTTTTTGCCTTACAAGAGTGTGACATTTTAAGAAACGAACACACAATTTTCTCACCATTTACATTTAATTTAGAATCGAACACGAAAAGAGAAAGGGGCAATCAAAATACACAATTTTTTTGGTAGAAACGAAATCACCATTAAATAATTTTTTTTTGTAATTTGGCAACAAAATCTTTCAATACAATATTAACTAAGGGCCATGAATGTATTGAGGGCGAGTAAAAACACCAAAATACTTTTAAGGCGCAGCGAAGCACGCGGGATATTTGCTAGCATATAGATCTAGGAAAAAAATATTGCATGAATTTTAAAAATTAAGAAAAGCGGTTCACAAATACAATTTTCGAATAGATCGGTATCTGTTCCACCTACCAGAAAAACGTAAACCTTCTCTACTTATTTCCCTAAAATTTCGATTAAATTGATCCAGAAGTTTTTACGTGATGCGCGCACATATAAAATGGTAACAGTTTTATTGTATGAGGCGTGGCACTGCCCATCATTTCAAAATGAGCCATAGCTTCATCTAAAGGACATATACGCTAAATATTATTAATTTTCGCCCAATAGCTGGGAAGATATGATGAGTAGTGGTTTGCCTTTAATATAATTTTCCAAAAATAATATATATAGATGTATTTTCCCCTAGGGCAGCTATTAAAATTTTACAAAGATTGGTTATGCACTTTGGACACCTATAAAAGACACACAAATACATTAATTTCTATATATTAGATTATCACTTTATTTCTCATAGGCTTTCTATATTTTTACCTAAGAGTATTGCGCTTATACACATGTATTTGCATATGTACCCTGCAAGGAAACCCCGAACTAGTAATCCAAATTTCTACTGCGTACTAGATCTTTATGGCCAAAAACGAACCAGTCCGATGTTAACTAGATCCACGCCAGTTCAAAAACAGCGAAATGTGTTACTTTAAAAAAAAATTATTTTACTTTTTAATACTACATATCGCTCTCTAACGGGGAACATCTGCTGCTAAGTCCACTTTCTCTAAACAATTATATTTTGATGTAAGAAGCAAGAACAATTAGAAATGCATCGTTTTTGTAAAAGCAACTACACACGGGGCAACCGTTGAAGCAACTTGTTGAGGCAACCTGTTTTTCTTGTTCAATACAAACGAGGCAACCGTATAGGCCCCCATTGCAGCAACCTCAGTAGTGTATGCTCTGTTATGAAATGAACGTACGGATGAAAATTTTGTTTTCTACCAAAACGCCTATTCAGCTCAACTCTTTTCAATGGACTAAGCCAATAACTTTTTACACACGGAGCAACCGACGCACAGTGGGACATCCCGGTACTAAGTGTAGCCAAAAATAGAAGGAATTGAGCTTGAGCAATAAAATTTTGCACACGTCATTTTAAAGCCAATGTTACACTTGAGATCAAAAATCGTCAAAATCGGACAATGGACACGCCCACCCACCATACAAAATATACGAAAAAAAATTATGACAGCATAACACATGAAGATATTTCGACTAAATTGTGTACACATTTTTAAGAGACTTGCTTACTGTAATGCTCAAACCAAATTGGACTATGGGTACTTTAATTTTGATTTAAAATTAGCATTGCATTTAAGAATAATACATTTTTTCATGTATTTTGTTTATATTTTCTTTTAAAATAACATAAGTTAGAAGGGAACTCAGGTACATTTAAAATGTATTAAAACAACGTTATTTCATTAATTGAAGTAATTGCGAAATCTCATAATACATAAACTAAATTAAATCTTCATCGCTCAAATCACTACTACAGCCGATTTCTTCTTCTTCCGGTACAAGAAACTCCGTTATCTCTACAGAAGAACGATTCTTAAAAACTCGTCGTTTGCTTCTTAATAGTGGATCAGAGGAAAGCAGCATGTATGACATTAAATCATAATTATTTGGTCCCGCATGTTCATCTTGCTTTTGAAAGCTTAATTCTGTGTTCAGCCAATGCGGTGGCTCTTTGACCATTTTTGTGAGAATTTGGTAACCAGTAAGCCAATTTTGTTGTCATCAATATTAATTCCTTCTTCACATTTTTCATCCAAGAACTTTAGAATGGTTTTGATTTGATTTTGCCGATAAAAATTTTTTGAAGTCAGCCACACCTCAAAAATTTCAAAAATTTTTATTGAAGATGGCACTGTGAAAAGATCAATAAAATGTGAAATTGCGACTTCTTGCAGCTAAAAATGAACGTTATTAACATAACTTGGTATAACAAATTGGAAATGAAGTCTGCGAAACTTTTTAACAACTATCCAACAAATTTTTTACCACAACAAATCTTCAGTTTCAGTTAATATTTAAGTAACAGTAACTCGTAAATGTCAAATTCCAAGTGAAAAAACAAACGTTGCCACACTCTAAGTATATATTAAAAAAACTGGTAATCAATCGGATTGGCCAATTATACCTCCGCACACGTAAAAAAAAAACACTTTAAAAAACTTCCAACAAAATGACAATTTTTTCAAAATTTTTCTTTTTTTTTTGTTGCATCTACTTTAAACTCGTCCCATGGCCGCAAATATGAAATTTTAGGAAAAATTCTTTTTGATATGGGTTAGTTGGGTATTTTGGATTGAATCTGCGCAACTACTTTTTTTATAATTAGTGAGTCCTTTATTTTTTTTATTTTTGGCCGCTGTAGTCCCATTGTGTGACGCGGCAACCATCCTAAAATATCAAAACATTTTGATTTTCGGGCGAAGCACAATGCGTCCGAAATTCAAAAGTGCGCCAAAGTCCGGGGTTTTAGGGGTCGCTTATTACGAATTCGCTGTCAGAGTTGCAAAATTCCAAGTATGGTGTGTGGTGTACACGGGCGAAGCTAATATAAGCGTGCTAAAAGCAATACATTAAAATTTTAGTGGCAGATTTGAGCAGCTGAATTTCATTTTATTCAGTAGCTAATACCTTCGTAAGTAACCTCCAATAGGTTGAAAGGCAGCATCCGACAACGTGTTATTTCTGTTTCATTTAACAGCACAAATTTGGTTAAAAAATAAGCAAAACAAAAACCATTACATTTCTATTTCCGAATCCCGGGAGTCCCGAGCCCTTTTTGGAGTGCCGAGATCCCGAAATCAAGCCTTCGAGATCTAACGTTCAGATACTGTAATGGCATAAAAGAATTATAAAATGCAACCCTACAACTAATCAAATAATAAGTATAGTACAATTCTAACACTACTATTGTTCTATGTTATAATATATATATGAGGCATTCTTTTTATATCGGACACCCAATTTGGTGTCAGAATTTCGATTGGCTTCACATTTTTCCTTTTATCTTCTTTTCTGTCAAATTTTGGATTTTTCCGTGATTCTGACTAAATAATCATGTACTTCTTAAAATTTGTTATGTCTCGGGTTATGTTCATTGTAGACACTTCAGTGTTGACTTTCAAAAAATAAACCACCTCGTCATAAAAAAAAATTTAAAATAGTTCTTGAAAAACTCCCATTTTTTTGGAACATTTTTAATTTATTTTTTGGTCTTTACTATGTAAATCAACTTAAAAAAGTTCAACTTTTAATAGTTAGTTTAACTTTAAGATAATAAGAACCATTATATAAAAAGCCCGTCACTTTATCTTCAAAACGACGTTAAGATGAAGTCTCCACGATGAGCAGAACCCGAGATATAACGATTTGAAGAAGTACGTGAATGGTCAGAATCACGAAAAAATTCTAACTTTGACAGATCATATCTCCGAAGAAAGAAAGAAAAAAAATCCTCGGATACGTTTTGGCTTATTTCATGTTTCATGTATAGAACCCATAAAAAATTTGGACCGAATCGTAGACATGACATAATTTTTTTTTACGAAATCTGTCCGACTTGTATATATACATAAGTATATATGAGGCGTTCCATACCAAAATGGACGGGGTTAACACTTCATGTGTTTGATTTGCTTAAAATTTTTAGGGTTGATGGATAAATAAAATAAAAACAAGTAAGAAAGTGTAAGTTCGGGCGGAGCCGAACATTAAATACCCGGCGCAAGTATTAAATATAGGTTTTCCACCTTTCCGAAAGCTACAGCTACATGCTAAGCTGGGGCGTATCAATTTTAAGTAAATTAGAAGAAATTTTGAAGTTTCAAGCAGTTCTGAAATTTACCGTTATATG